CACCCTACGGTCAAACCGCTGAACCCTCAGCCTGACAATCTGAGCCCCAACCACAAGACCCCCCCCCCCCCGCGAAAAGCCTGAACTCCTAAATCTTGAGCTGTGGGAGAAGCGAAGGATCTAGGGCTTGTTGTCGGGTTTTGTGCTCAAGCTTATGCTTTCTCAAAAAACAGTCTCAGGGCCCCCCTGAGGTGGCCTCCTAAAACCTTCTGAAACTTAGCATCCTGCTCAAGTCTCGTGAAACAACACGGTCATGTCTCTTCAAAGAGTAGGCATACAAGCACGACGCCCGGGATGGTAACTCTAAGTTCATGCAAGTGCTGCTGTCTGCATCCTGCATGTCCGCGGCAATGGGCATCGAATGCTTGGCGCAGCAGCTGGTCTTAACGTCCTTGGTGCTGTCGCCGCTCAGCCCCTGGATGCGGACAATGACGTCGGCGATGTAGTTGTCACGGACCTGCCCAGCATGCTCACCCAAGCACAGCACAAGGTTCTTCTTCAGAGACCTTTTGGGGCTGAATCTTCGAAGGGCTCTATAAGCGAATTCAAGGAACCCACTCGCCATCGTTGATGATGTCCACGGCGGCCATCTCCTGCTCTGCGACGACCTGCGGACCCGGCCCCCAATCAACCAGTGAAGCTCTATAAAGCCCCGAACAAAACCCTGGAAGCTGCTCCGTACCCCCACTTTCAGCCATCCCTAAACCTCTGAATGGCATGAAAACCCTTTTTCTCCGGCCTGCTCCATATCCAGCTTGCTGTGGTTGGGCCGAGGAAGGGAGCCGACGTGAGTCGTGCGGATCCAGCACTTGCTCAGATCTTCGGACGCCACCTACTGTAGGGAGGAACAGCGGCATTTTGTTGAACGCAACAGGTACGTCGGATTTCTACTTGAGGGAGTGCCCCCATGCCTGCTTCGGCTCCTGCGTCGGCACCTTCGGCTCGGAGTCCACGGCCGCCGTGGGGGGAGGTGGGTGGGCAGTCGTGGGAAGGCTGGCCCTGGGCTTGGGCGCCAATGTCTCCTTGGCCGACAAGACGCCTCCAACCTCCTCCAAGTTCTTCACGATGGCCCGGCACGTCGGCTCCTCCATGATCTTGTCAATGCTGAGGCAGCCTTGGCCGAATCGGTCCTGCAGGCGCCAGAAAAGCATGATTAAATTAAATTCTGCACAGACAGCTTACGCAAAAGGTCCGGGGCGCAAGCTCTGTGCCTTTCTTGGGCCTTATAGAATTCCTCGGACGTCAATCGCTGCACGGTCCTCAAGCAAGCCCATGAGCTCCGCCAAGCCCAGAGAGTCGATGCCCAGTTCGTGCAGGTCCGCGTCCACGTCCACCTCTGCGTCGCCGCCGACGATGGAGAGCACGGCGCTGCCGACGACGCTCAGGGAGCAGATGTCCACGTCCACCACGTCGGCGACGTCCCCGGCGACGTCCACGGCGTCCTCGGCCACAGAGAAGAGGCAGAGGCGGCTGGCGCTGGCGGCACTGGCGGCCGCGTGCTCCTGCGATGGAGCGGAAGCGGAGGTGCTGGAGAGGCTCTCGACGAGGGAATGCGAGTACCGCCGAAGGAGCACTGGCTCACGGGCTGCGGCCTCGTACTTAGGACAGGCCCTGGCCGTGGGAGTTGGGGTCAGAACGGCGTGGGCGTTGCTCCCGGCGAAGCCGAAGCTGGAGACGCCCACGTAGGCACAGGCCGGCAGTTCAGCCTCGACTCCTGCTCTCAGTGACTCGGCGAGTTTGTGCTTCTGAATCAGTATAATAGTATACTCTCTTTTGGTTGCCCTGGCATGCGTGGTGCGTCTTTTGTTCTCAGTCCTGGGCTCTTGAGGCAGGACTCCTCCATCGCGGCGAGGACTTGGGGGTTCAGGCCGCCGTGGACTTCGAAGGAGGGCACGCGGTAGTTCTCACAGACGAGCATCGCCTTCAGGGAACCCTCCAGATCCCTCTATAGCCTCTAACTGGGGCCCTGGCTTAAAATCCGTTTGGCATCATGAATATCAGGGAAGAAGCGTAATAGAGTACATGTTACATGCACTCCGGAGATCACGGCGCTCAACATGCGGAGGTGCTACACGGTAGAAAGGACATGGGGACCTTCAGGAGCCCGACGGCACCCGCTGCCGACTCCAAGTGGCCCACGTGCATCTTCGACGCCGTCATGGTCACAGCGCAGCCCAGCCGGGCGAGGGCTGAGATCTGCAGGACATGTTTCCATGACAATCATGAGAGCAAACTCTTTTAATCTCTAAACATCTCTAAACCCTAAACTCTGGCCCCAAAACACCGGTCCGAAACTGGCAGTTGCCACGCCTCCACCGGGTCCCCCAGAGGAGTGCCGGTGCCATGCAGCTCCAGGGCCGCCAAGTCGCCGGGAGCCACCCGGGCGCTGGCGCAGGCGAGGCGGATCACCCGCTCCTGCGCCCGAGGCTCCACGGAACTCAAGGGCTTCCTGACTGTGGGCAGGCACCGAAAAGAATCAGGAGGGAGCCTTTTGAATGAATTCTACATATCCTTTTGTAAGGTCTGGGAAAGCCCGGCGTCTGCGTGGAGTTCTGGGTCACGGCCGAGCCCAGGACCTGTGCGCGAGATGGAAGGCCGGAGCCGGCATGCAGCAGGAAGAGGACGCCGCCCTCGCCGCGGACGTAGCCGTCTGCCAAGGCGGAGAAGGTGTGGCAGCGACCAGAAGGGCTGAGCATCCCAGCCCGCCGGAGGTTCTTGAAGAGCTGCGCGTCCTCCCCGAACAAGTTCACACCCCCAACAACGGCAAACGCCAGCTGCCCGGTACGTGCTTCCTGCAAGGCCTGGTGGACGGCCACAAGCGCTGACGAGCAGGCTGTGTTCACAGTCATTGACGGGCCCTGCAAGTTGTAAGCGTTGGCGACCCGGGCTGCAAGGGCGCTCAGGGACGAGCCGATCGCTGCATAGGCGGAGGACCTGGTGTCGGAGACGGCGGGCTGCCAGGCGCCGATGTAGACGCCAACGCTCGTCGGCTCTGCCTTGGCAACCTCCGCAGCGTCACCGGAGTCGTGCCACATCTCTGCCGCCAGCTGCAATGCAAAGGCGTGCTGCGGGTCCATGGCCGCGGCCTCGGCACCTTCGACCCCAGCAGCCTCTGCCGCCAGCATGGCGGCGCGGCGGTCGAACTTGGGCTGAAGAAACGCGGCCTTGGGGCCCTCCTTGAAAGCTGCAAAAGCGGAATCCTGGCTCAGGGCAGGCTTCGAAGATGTTCTTCAACATGTTCCCCTGTCTTTTCCCCCTGTCCTGGTCATCCTCCAGCAGCATGCTCCAGAAGCTGCCTGGCGGGGGCGAGTCCGCGCCCCCCCCTGGCAGCCGGAGAGCACATCCCAAGATCTCGAAGTGAAGCTCCGGCGTGGGCTCCTGCATTTTCGGCACCGGCCTCGACGGAGCCTGGCTCTGGGCCTCCACGCCCCAATCCAGGAGGGCCTGACGGAGAGCTGAAGCTGAAGTAACGCCTAGGGCTCCCCCCTCGTTAAACGGGTTTAGGGTAAAGACGTCCTCAGAGGCACCTCGATGGAGCTGAAGCGGTAGAGGTCATGGGCCGCGAGGCCCGGGAAGAAGGGCTTCAAGGCCTCAACGCTGTTCAGAAACGGTATCTTTAGGGGGGGGGGGGGGGGTTGTAGGTTTAGGGTTTATAGAGGCTTTATAAGATGCTTTAGAGGCGTGTCAGGTTTGAGGTTTAAGGCTCCCTATCACGGCGCTCCTCCTGGCAGTTCCTACACTAGCTGTTTTTCTGTCTCCGGCGGGCCTCCGTCAGGAGCACCAGTTGCTGGGAAGCAATGCCCTGGGCAGCAAAGCTCGTGGTGTGGCACCTCGGATGTTTTCAATCCCAAACCGGAACCACCACTAAAACATCCTAAGCCCTAAAACCTCCTGTGAAGCTCTGCGGCTCTGCGCCGAGGCACAGCTCCCGGCCACCGAAGCTGAAACCTCGGAGCGCCCGCGACAGCCTCCTGCGGAAGCCCGGCCCCAAGCCAGCGCGCTGATGTCGCAGGAACCTCGGAAGGGCGGGAATAGCTTAGGGTTTTAGGGTATCGGAGACTTGGAACCCGAAAGCGTTGGACAAGGAACGGGGCGGCATGCTCCCCGCGACGCATGGAGGAGGCATAGCGGAGTCCGTCTGAGAATGTGGCCTTCATCAAAAGCGAAAACTGCATCACGATTCCATATGACTGGCCAGCACCATCTCAGCTAGAAGGCAAACGCCCACTTGACACATGATGCAGGCACAAGCAGCCAGTGTAAAGCAGGAAGCAATGTGTGACAGAACTATAGATCGGAGAATCCACTTGTACTCAGGCACTGATGTAGGTATCAGTTATAAGTGCTAACAAGGCAGAGCATGGCATGCCACCAATGCACAAACGGCATCAGCTACACGTGCGCCACAAGTGACACTGCCTTAACGACCCCAACATCTCCACCTCGGGGTCATAGCTTCAAAAAAAAAACCTTCAAGCCCTGGGCCTGGATGGCAGCGGCCAAGACGGGATGGGCACCCATCTCCAGCAC